TCTGAAACTGAGAAACCTTGCTCCAAAGCTCTCATGATCTTGCTGATATACCAGCTGCCTCGCTAGAATACAGTGATGCATGATGTTAATGTTTTGATATTGCAGTAAATAAAGTTGCTCTTGAAAAAGAATTTATACCAAAAAAGGACACAATAGTATATCTCAGGCAACACAACTGCTTTCTTTTGGGGGGCCTCCCCCCTCACTGCCTGTGGTTATGGGGAAACTGCCAATCACAGTGCTCATCTGCCTGTGAAGGCACAGGCTGGTACATAAAGCTAGCTGGGTCAATCACAGTGTCTACTTCCCTGGCCTGCTTTTGGTTCAGGGTTGGGCAAGACCCTGACAGAGCCAACTAGAGTCTTCTCTAGGATTCATATGTGAGTTTTCACAGAGGAAAAAGTTTCATTCTGCCAAGGTTGCCAAGCTGGAATGCTGAGTCCTGGAGTGTAAAGAGTGTAACAGAGGACCTTTGCTGTAGGAGAAAATGAGGTCAACAGATCTAGGGAACCACTAAAAACTCTGCATGATCCCTGGGATACAGCACCACTAACCTTCTTAGTCTCATGAATGAAATGTTTAAAATTTTTTTTACTCAAGTTAGTTTGGGTTGAGTTTCTGTCATTTATAATCAAAAGAATGCTGAATAATAGAGTTTGCATGCTTTTTCTGACATATATTAAGAAAAAAATAACTATGCTCCATTCACAGTGTTGTTTCTATCTTAAGGAAAAAAAAGAAAAAAAAAGAAAAAAAAAAAGAAAAAAAAAAGAAGGCATGAGGACTACCCTTGAGGAATGCACATTCTCCATGGGGGCAGGGCTAGGACTTAGGAATATCAGAAGTTCACCTTCTCATCTATGTAGTGGCCTCCTTGAGAGCAGACACTGGGTTTCTATTTCTCCATCCCCGCCCCACAGGCACACCTGACCCAGTGACTGGCACATGTTTAATAAGTAACTGCTGACTAGCTAAGCAGATGGCACCTGCTGTTATGTTTGTAAGGTCTTTTATGGTCTAATCTTGTCTACTCTTTTCTTATTTCCTTTCCCTAATGTACAATACTACTGACCTGTGGGAAACTCATTATATTATTCACTAAAACAGATTCTACAAACTCAGAATTGTTCACTGTAATAAAATATGCCATGGTATACAGAATAGAGGGACAATTTCATAAAAACGTTCTGAAATTTCCTGAACTCACATAAAATCATAAGACACGTTAGCATTCTGTATTTAAGCCCACAGCTTAAACTCACAAAATGTAGTAAAAGTATAAAATATTCAAAAAGAACATAGTTGGATTTTTATTGTCCAAAATATTACTTTCCTTATTTAAAATGCACCTTGGCAAACAAAAGACAATACTTTGACCAAATAAATGAGAAATGCAGAACAAACAGGGAATAACTGGTATTTGGAGAGGAGCAGCTGGGAAAGTTTTGATTAAGCTATTTCTGCTTCCAAACAGAAATTCTGGTTACAGGATCCATCACAGATATGCTGACTTCCAATATGTTAAGCTAAACAGAATTTCAACTCTTTACAGCAGCAGCAAAAAATAGTCACAAGATACATAAAAGATTTCAGCTCTTACCACTTTCCTCTGGTCTTGTATTGATCTGAGGACCTCAAGAGTTTGAATCCCTTTCCCACCCAGAAACTTTTGTTCTCTTATTTTTAGATTCTTGCTTGGATACTTTTTGGTAACCACTCAGAGATGATGAAAATTTCCAGCTTAGTTTCTACCTGGTCCTCAAAAAACAGTCAAGCTCTGGGTGGAGGGAGCACTCAGGCTCAGCCCTGTGCTGTGGGCATTGGCAATCCTGAACAAATGAGAACAGCCTTAATGTCGGGAGTCTATTACTGGCTGCAACAGCTTCTTCTGGTTCCAGATATAGTCTCTGTGGCCAAATGAGGTCTAATAGACAGAATCATTCTCTAAATGGTCATCTTGGCCACAGATCATCCATAACCATGGCCAGAATGGCTGGGTAAGCTGTTGGGCAAGATCCGAGAAGGGAGGGGTCGACAACAGAGTTGGGAACCCTCTAGGCAACAATTAAGAACGATTTACATGGTAGTCTATGTTGGAAATTACACATTTGGACATTTTCCCCTCAGAGGCTTCTCTCCTAAAAAATCTGGCTTGTGCTGTGGTATCTTAAACATATACCTGCTCTGTTCTGTGAAAGTCCTGTCTCCTCCTTGTCAGAGATTCTGGAATGTCCTGAACTTCAGAAAAGAACCACCTGGATCATTCCCTTGTCGACACAAGTACGATAATTTCTCCAGAGATGTTAAAAATCATAGCTTATTATTGTTAAAAGGGATAGTAAAAATCACCTAACCCAGTCCTTTTATTATATTTATTGGTCATGAAGCTGAGGCACTTTGAAAATTAAGTGGGCTTTTATTGTTGAATTATAGTCTACATAATGATAGCCATGGTTACTTAATTGGCAGTACAGTGTACCCTAGCTGGTAAGATGATAACTCAAGGGGCGGAAAAATAATGGAATTTCTCTTTACATTTATTTTTCTCATTCCACTATAAGAAAGATTATTTATAAATGTTTATGAAGAATAACTAATTATGACTTTATGACCACACAAAAATGACTTTGATGAATGTATTTGGCACTGTACATAATGTATTCAAAATCAACCCCTTTGCATTTTTTATTCTATTTTTATGTTCTTTTCCCCCAAAGCAGGGATTATCATGTTATGATACTACGTCTTTCACTTCTGACTTTGTTTACAGTCTATCTTCCTTCTGCTGGAATGTGAGCTCCAGGAAGACTAGACATCACTGGCTACATAGGGAGCTACATGGACTGTAAACCAAACCAAAAAAGAAGCAGTTATTTTCTCCTCTCTTTTCCTTGCCCATGTCTTGTTCTAGAAGGTTATTAGCATGTCCTCTAAGATCACCATCAAATTGCTCGCTATATGATTCTAGGGAAATCATGTCGCATTTGTATACCTCAGTTTCACAAGTACGTTGGACTTGGGCTGGACTAGATAATCTTTTGGTCCCTTCCAGATATAGCATTTCTTCTCTGTTCTATTTCTAGTTCCTAGAACAGAGAAGGTACCCAATAAATATTTTTAAATGAATAAATGAATATATTAGTATGGTAGTACCGGTACATAATGCGCAAACAAATATATGTCAGCTGTGAATGCTCGAGAACTTTTTATCCGTAAGGGTATATTGTTTGTAATGTTTGGAGCCTATGAATTGGGCATTTTTTATTTGAAGTCTGCTGGGGGAACTGGTTAAGTACTAAATGGGATACTAATGAAAGATGGCACTTGAAGTGAGGGCTCTTCTGTGCAGTGGAGACTAACTCACTGGGAAAAGGATTTTTTATTCTGGAGATTTGCTTGAGTGGCCTATTTTAGTCATGAGAAAGTAGGATAAGTAGGCAAGCATTATTTTGAGCTTAGAGCAGAGCAGGAACTATGGTGACTGAATGCAGGGCTTCCGTTACCTTGGATAATGGGTTTTTTTAAAAAATTAGTTCCTTTCAGGATTAAAGGGGCAAATTTCTGCTTCTGAGATTCAATTTTAAGAAGAGCTGGACTGGCGATCACAAGTTGCCCCAAACAAGGCCCAGTGGCAGAAAAGAGCAATGAAGTCCTTCAAATAAAATTCCCTGAAGAATAGTAGACTCTTGATAAATGACCTGGATCCAAAAGTCTTAAGTTTTGGGAGTTGAGCTGAGGTCACGGGTTAGGGCACAGTCTATACTTAAGGGCAGATGCTCTGCGGGACCTACCCACATGGGCTCTGTGTTTTGATGATGTTCCTTGGAGAGCAATGATTGAACAGTGTGCATGACCTCAAACTTGCTGCCATGTAGGTTTCTAGACCTGGCATTCTCTAGAGTCAACAGGTCCCCATAGACCGAGTAGGACTCAGCTTCAAAAGTCAAATTGTCTGGCAGGGAGAAACAATCGCCATGGTGAGCTAATCCAGTCTTCTCCATTCCTGGTATTAAAACTATGTTTGTTACTCAGTAAGTCCTTTAGATCCTTGGACAATGAGGTTGGGATGGAATAATGAATGAGGTATGAGGTATGGATGGAATGCCCAAGCAAATGACTGGGAAAAACAGAAACAACAACAACAGCAATAAAAAGAGATGTGAAAATAGATTTAGTCTGAGTATGTATAGAGGTTTTCTATGGTTAAATTGTCTTTTTTTTTTTTTTTTTTTTAAACTGTGAACATCCAGAAGCACATTAGAGGTGAGCTCCCATTAGCATTGAGGAAGGTAAGTGAGTGGACAAAGTCCACAAATTCTGAGATGAGAAAGTGTGAACTTAAAATCTATTTTCAGTTCTATTCTATATCTAAGAATACTTACTGGCATTGTCAGGTACTTACATTTCCTGACTACTGTTTTTATTTCTTCGGAGGTTACAGAGATCACGTGTGTTGACTTTCCTGTTGTATAATATTATTAATCGCCAAGGTAATTTTTACAGGTAAAACAGGAACAAAAGAAATTGCATAAAGGGTCATATATCTCAAAAGGTTCATATCAAATTTCATACTGATAATACATTGCCTGAAAGTACTTGCTCTTTTTCTTCTAAGTATTATTTAGTTTAAATTAATTTGCTTTTTATAGTGGCAGATTACATTGCCCTCAGGAAGAAATGAAAGGTAAACATTATCTTTGTTACTTGTAGGTCAAGACTATTGCATTAGCACAGTCATGTGTGTAGGAGCAACATGTGTAGGAGTCTCGAATGTAAGATGTGGATCAGGTATCACATGACAAAGCCCATCAGCTGGCCCCTATGACATATAGTACAGCTCAGAGTGAAAGGTTACTTAGCTTCTCAAACTCAGCCACAGACCCTGAACAACTCTCAGGAAGAGAAGGGCTAATCTGAGTGAGGGCAAAAGACATATTTACTCCTCAGTGTTAACGTGTTTATACTCACAAAATGGCAGTTTAACTACTGATGGCACTTACATCTTGGTTAGACATTTCCCAATAAGGTCTCTCTCCATAGGACATGACCTCCCACATGACAATGCCATAGCTCCACGCGTCACTTGCTGAGGAGAATTTTCTGTAGGCAATAGCTTCTGGGGCCGTCCACCTTATGGGAATTTTCCCACCCTGGAAAACAAATCGGAAATTTCTCAGCTGGCTCACAAGTGTATTAAAAAATGAAATGGCAGTCCAATTAAAAAACTTTTGTTAGAAAGATCTGAATACTGCATGATAGCATTGGCATTTTAGATAAAAATAAGAGAACAAGAATAATGTTAAATGTCAGAAATTTTTTTCCTATAATAATTATTCAGTGCTAGAAACTTTAATGGGAAGTAAGTCACACTTCAGAAATACTTTATTTCATTCATTGGGGAAATTTATTTTCACTTTAGATTCACACAATTAAACTCACTATCGTGCCATTTGAAGAAAGTTCTGGATTATAGAACATTAAAACTAAATATCATTCAACATTCATTAAACATTGTATCACATGTATAAATAATAATGAGAATAACTTCTAACCTAATTGAAGATAAATGGTTAAATGCAGAACTGAAACATTCTCTGCAGTTCAATATTTATCAAGACTTTCCCTCTTTCCTTTTTATCTATGATTATATTTACTTTAAATTAAAAAATCCTTTAACATTATACAAGGGCACCTGAGAAGGATAATTCTTCTTTGGAACACTTTAGGCCAGACTACATTCTAGTTCTTTAGTGTTCCCTTTCACATTTGAACATATTAAAGAGATGAAATAGCATGAATTTAATCTATATTGTTCAGGTATTAAAGCCCGCTATTGTGTTATACTTATTTTTTTATCAACATTTATTACATTTTATCTCTCAAAACACTCTATAAATCCTTTTTACTGTAATGACAAGAACAAAACAATTCATCCATTTGATGTACAATCTTTGAAATTTTTGTAGCTCTGAACAGCAAGTCGAGCGAGGGGAGAGCACCGCTGTCGCCACTAGATGGCGGAAGAGAACAACGAGCTGTGTCCGGACCGCATTTTTTGGCTTCCCGTGAAAATACTTCTGCAGGCTTCTGCAGGCAGGGCAGATCTTTAACTGTCAGAACGCTCCGCGATGGAATTGCCTCATCAATAGCCGCACTTCCACGACCACATCATCTGATTACCCACGTCTCCCAAAGTCCGGTGTGAGGGTGAGCGGGGGTAGGAGGTGATAGAGGGTGCATTCTCTGGCCCTTGAGGAAGTTGGGTCTGACACCTTTAAAAGGTGAAGCTGTGAATGGAATAAATCTAAACACTACTTTTTTTTTTTTTTTTTTTTTTTAAAGTAATCTAAGCATTTGCTTGAAGAGAAAAGTGATGCATCCGAAATGGGAATAATTGGGTTCACCAGGCAAATGAGTGCATTAATGGAATCCTCATCTTAAAGACTTGTAGCAAGGAACCTTGGGGATAATACTTTAAATTCAATCCCCTGATTTTACAGGTGAGTGACCGAATACAGGGTTTAGAGATTAGGAGATTCCTCTCCACATTATTAAATACATGTCTACTAACGTTATTATAATAACATTATGGGGTATTGATATAAAGTTGTAAATACTTCATTGGGGAGGAAAAGCTGGGCCAAACGAACTTTGGTGTTTTAACCCTGGGCATCTTATAATCATATATCATCGTAATATAATGGGAGGAAACTAGAAGCCTGAAGTCTGGGGTGTTCACGCTTCGTGGCAGTACCACATTAAGGCCAGGAAATTAAATTTACAAAGTCGGTGCTAGTAGTTTAAGAGGGTGATGGGTAGGGAAAGGGAGTTGCAAGAGGAGGATTCATTTCTAAACCCAGAGTAGAATTGCCAGGTGAAATACAGAACCCACAGTTAGACTGAATTTCAGGTAAATAACTTCAGGTAAATACTTTTTTTGTTGTTGTTGTTGTCGAAGTATGTCCCATAAAGGAATATATTTTTGTGTGTAAGGACGTCCCAAATATTGCATGAGACATTTACAGTAAAAATCAAAATGCATTGTTTCTCTGAAATTCAAATTCAACAGGGCATCCTATATTTTTATTTACTAAACCAAGAAACCCAATCACAGAACATGAAAAAATATTCCAGAAATGGAAATATTGTAAATGATCCAACACAACATTAGTGTTCTAAAAAAAAAAAAAACCCAGCGTGGTCTATACTTCATGAGGAGACAAGGACACTCTGACTTGTGTTTGTGTACCAGCCCTCTAGCAGCCTTTGTTTTATGGCCTATTTGTGGCTAAAACACCTTGGTCCTGTGGCTCTGCATTTTGAAGCCGCTGAAGTCAGGCTCAGGTTTGTTCTAATATGGAAGCCTCACTTCCAGAGAATAAAGACCAAATTTGTAGTTGACTTCAGAACAGATGTAAGAGCAGCAGTCTTGTTTGACATTTCTGACTCTGGATCTTTCTTTGTCTCTCCAGCAAACAATGCGTAGAAGTGTGAATTGCTAATCTGCTGGGACTGTTCCTTTGCTAAATCTTTGTGAGTTCTATTAAGGCAGGCTAAAAAATACAGTTAAGGGTTATTTTAGGTGCATTCACTTATAAATGATACCTCATATAAGTAATTCACATATACATTTATACTTCATGTATGTTGATATCACATGTAAATAATAACCTTTCCCCTTTCCTAAGATTTTATTTTTTTCCCGTGAGGAGAAGATATTACAGAATATTTGATTAATAGCATTTCTATCTGTTATGGACTGAATTGTGTTTCCTCAAAATTCATGTTTTGAAGCCCTAAACCCCAATGTGACTGTATTTGGTGGTAGGGTCTTTCAAGAGGTAATCAAAGTTAAATGAGGTCATAAGGGTGGGCCCTACACCAGTATGGCTACCGTCCTTCTAAGAAGATAAAGAGACACCAGAGGTGTGCAGGCATAGGGAAAAGGCCATGTGAGGACCCAGTAAGAGGATGGCCGTCTGCAAGCTAAGGAGAGAAATTTCAGGAGAAGCCAAACCTGCCCATATTTATATTTTGGATATCGAGCCTCCAGAACTGTGAAAAGTAAATTTTTATTGCTTGAGCCAGTCAGCCTCCGACATTTTGTTAATGGTAGCCCTAGCAGACTGATAACACCACTCTTATAAAGGAAAAAAGAAAGAAAGACAGAAAGAAAGAAAGAAAAATTTTTGTCTAGGATGAGCAACACTGCAAAATGGACAGTACATCTCTACTTCAAATTCTATGTCAAGAGCCATCTTGAAATGGGAAGTGAGAGCTAGAATAAATCTTTTTTTTTTTTTTAAAGATTTTATTTATTTATTTGACAGACAGAGATCACAAGTAGGCAGAGAGAGAGAGGAAGGGAAGCAGGCTCCCCACTGAGCAGAGAGCCCGATGCGGGGCTTGATCCCAGGACCCTGAGATCATGACCTGAGCCGAAGGCAGAGGCTTTAACCCACTGAGCCACCCAGGCGCCCCTAGAATAAGTCTTAAAGATGAAAAATCATCACAGAAGTGCTAGGGTAGGGATATAATTCTAATTTATAAAAATGCATGGTAACATGAACCTGACAGTATGTACGGACTTCAGTAATTCTTAACATGTATGAAATAGAGATAAGGAAGCTTTCAAATCTTGTTTTTTTTCTAGTGGGAGGGTATAGACTGAGCATAGTTGATCTCTAAGTGCAAGATAAACCTGAAAGGAAGAGGTCCTTACAATTACGGCATGGTCTCTATCCCCTTTCCTATTTTAGAGGAAACACAGAAGCTTAGCTTTTTTCCTTTTTTTTTTTTTTTAATTGAATGGACCAACAAACATGTGGCTTAATCTCAGCTACTTATTTTTGCCCATGATGTTGAATCATAGACAGAGGTAATGCACTAAATTACGTTTTTCTCAAAGCATTAACCACCAGATGTTTGTTTCAGGTTTGAGGAATGAACAAATAGTACTTTAGATTTGAAATCACAATCATTGGAACATTAGATGTTGCTTTACCATATGTTTATGAAGGGAAAAAAAAAGTTACCAATGATGCTAATCAAAATGACTGAATGTAACTCTAAAGTTTTCTCCAGTTCCTGGCACTTCCCTTATGCCAAGAGCTTAATCATTTAGGGAACAAAGGAGAAACAGGAAGTAAGCAAACTGGGTCTGGATCTGGATGGCTACTGAAAAGATTGTTAGCAACCCCTTTTTCCTGTTTTTTAAGTCCTATGCATAGCTTGCTGTCTAAAATGGGGTCATAGCAGAAAAAGCGCTGAAGAAACAACTAGGAACCTTGAATTAGACCTGTACACCCTCTATCTTGTATTATGGTTGTATTTAACATCTGAGGTTTAGAACCTGATCCTCTAATCTTCAGTGGAGGAGACAATCAAATGAAATATAGTAAGGTTACAAAGGCTTAATTCTGAAACCAAATAGAAACCTTCCACTAAGAAACAAGAACACTTAAATCTCTCTCCATTTCTCATGCACTGGTTTGATGGTTATCTTAAAGGCAAATGGTTTGAATAGACAGCAATCTGCCTATAGACTTTTTCTTTTTTCCTTGATCTGCCTCTGTGGTACCCGAACCTCAAGGAATATAAGAATTACACCATAGAAAACATATATACTATGCTTAAAGATTAATTTAAGAAATTTCTAATGGCAATTTTAACTAAATATTTTTCTTTATGAGATGAAAGTCTTCTACAATCTATTGTGTGACTTTGGGCAAATCTTAACTCTGAGTTATATTTCAGATCTGGAAAATGAGGGGATTTGAATTGATGATCATAAAATAATAAACTCTAGTGGGTTTTAATATGTGCCTGCAGTTTCTTGGCTCCCATTAAACTGAGTAGATAGGCCATCTGAGTTTGTACCTAGTCCATGTAGACAGAGCCTGATGACAGACAGTAGTGGAGATAAGCACACTCTTGTTTCACGTCCCAGACCAGTAATTAACGGTCACAGGGATCATCCTGAGTAGTAAGGAAGGGTAAAAAAATAACTTAATCACTTTTAGTTTAAGAAGGCAGGAGTATGAAAATACATATTAGAAAGGCACGAAACCAGGACATTGACTTTTCCCCCTCTTTGCTTTTTACTCTTAATGGGTTAAAATACACTTAATGAGCAACCACTGGTTATTTG